ATCAATTCTAAAAGTTGTGGAACACGTGTAAATCAATCTATGTTTTTTCATGTAAACGAAATGCATAACAATTATACATCAGTGACTAGATAAAATGATAATTTGTACTAATCGTATGTTTAAAGAAACTGTGGGATCAGATCCACTATACTTGTTAAGTATAATATTTTCTAGTAATATAAAAAATAATAATTTGTCTAACCTAACAGTAGGCCGGCTAATTAACAGAGATATATACCGTTTTAGTGTAAAATTTTCTTACATTAATTAATGCTAGATGACGCTGGAATAGATTGTGAATTAGGCGGGCCTAACGTTAGTAGGAAGACTATGTCACCTAATTTGCGAGCAAGAGCATAGGATGATATAATTCAGTGGCCCTTTTATGGTTCTCATTATGTTATAATGAAATCCTCGAAATTTCAACCATTTGATCAAGTATTAACTTAATAGTTGGTAATAATAATAATTAGCAGAAAATGGTCAAACTTTTTTTTTTCAACAGTCAGAAAATTGTATTAGCCACGAGTCCAAACACAATATACACCTCCCTTGGACTTACCACCAGAGCCAAGGGAATGAAAAGCAAAAACCAGACCAATCATATTTCAAGTTTAAAGAGGGAACACACACATATATAATGGATATGATATTAAATGTAGTATTGTGTGCAACTAAAACTAGTATCAATTCCTATACATCATTTTTAAAATTTGGTTGGTTTCTACTGGAGCCATTGTTTTGAAAATTGGAGGCAATTGGCCAATCAGACTATGAACCATTCTAACTTCTTTGAATGGCTTTCCAACTGGTTCAGGAACCGATCTTGGTCACTAGAATTGGTGAAAATTGGTCAATTATTACATAAATTTAACTATTTTCTTATAACATAAAATAAAACTACTAATTAACTGAATATGCATGAATTACTACTATATCAATTAATTTAGAAATCCACATTAGATTAAATTTATTAAATATTCAATGTATAATGTCTTAATATATTTTTATTACTTAAACTATTATTTATTATAAAAAAAAATTAATTAATAAATTAAACAGGACCACATTCCCAAATTTGAGCAATGGTCCAATTGTGGGAGCCTATATATAGTTTGCTTTATGTTAATATACATACCTACATATATTTCATTTCATATTATAGTTGAGCTCAAGTGTATGTTCTAAGGATTGTACTAAAGAACATGGAAGAAGACAAATTTCTGCCCAACAAGCAGATTGTACTAAAGAACTTCGTACAAGGCTGTCCAAAAGAGAGCCATTTTGATCTAACGATAACAAACATGAGCACGAACATTCGTGATTATGGATCAAATGGCGTGTTGCTCAAGAATCTCTACCTTTCGTGCGACCCTTATTTGTGCCACCTCATGCGTCCTGCTCGACTATCTTCTTTCCTACAAGGTTCTTTTGTCCCAGGATCTGTAAGTCTATCTCCTTTTTCCTTCTGTTAATGTGAAATGCCCATTTTGGATGAAAATCGTTTTTTCGCTCTAAAGGTCTCATTTAAGATGTTGATTGATTGAGTTCATGTGATCATTATATGTCTTTTTGAGGAAAATTAAATAGGTTGTGAGGGGATATGGTGTGGCAAAAGTCATAAAGTCTGCTTATGAGAAGCTGAGAGAGGGTGATTATGTGTGGGGGGTTACAGGGTGGGAGGATTTTAGCTGGAATTCGAATCCCGAAAAGCTGCTGACTAAGATCGAGACAACCGATGTTCCGCTATCTTACTACGCGGGTATCCTTGGTACTGAGAAATAATAATAATAAAAAAAAATCTAGAGATTTACTTATTGGTTAATGCCCTTTAAATTAAATATATGTCTAATTTTGGATTAAAATTAATCTTTTGGGTGCAGGCATATCAGGTATAGCTGCTTATGTGGGGTGGTATGAAATATGTGCCCCAAAGCAAGGTGAAATTGTTTATATCTCGTCGGCTGCTTGTGGAGTCGGTCATCTTGTGGGACAATTTGCCAAAATGTCGGGTTGTTATGTGGTCGGAAGTTCAAGCACTAATGAAAAGGTCATAATCCCATCGACTACCTAAATATAGTCGACAAAATTCCAAAACGTTTATGTGATTTCTTTTTTTTGCTTAATTGAGTGAAACAGGTCGACTTGCTAAAGACGAAACTTGGGTTTGACGACGCTTTCAACTACAAAGAAGGAGACTTGCGGTCACAATTAAACAAGTGCGTACCGAACTAATCATAAAGCTACTTAAACATCAAATTCTCTCTTATTTTTCTTTCCTCTATTTCATTTTTATTTCACTCTTGTCAATTCTATTTTCTTGTTTGTTGTTAATAAAGGTGTTTCCCTAGAGGCATCGACATTTACTTTGAGAATGTGGGAGGTGATATGCTAGATGAGGTATTGGGAAGAATGAACTTAAATGGTCGAGTTGCGGTTTGTGGGATGATATCTCAGTACAACCTCACCGAACCAAAGGGAATCCAAAACCTATTTAGCGTAATCCATAAGCGTTTGACATTGCGGGGTTTCTCTGAACAAGACTATAGAAGAAGTACGTACGCGGAGTATGCCAAGTGGGCCATCGAGAAGCTTCGGGAGAATAAGTTGGTCTATGTTGAGGAAGTAATTCCAGGTTTGGAGAATGCGGCTTCTGCTTTTGTTGGTATATATTATGGTCACAATACTGGGAAGAGAGTGATTGCTATTGCTAGGGACTGATTTGTGTTTCTTAAAAGTTTTTACTTTTTAGGGGAGAATTAGTGTGCTTTTCACCATCTCTATGTGGAAAGTATGTATGTGATGGAGGGTGTCTGCTTTAGAATTCATCAAACCTTAAGTTAATTGGAAACTAGTTATCAAACAATTGTGCTGTAGATCCAAAACATCTTAGCCTGAAAAAAAAATATAAAAATTAGGATTATAAATTAGTAATTCATAGTTAATTAAAATAATAATTATAAATGTTTTTTACCAAATTTCCTCATATTGCATTCGATTTTAATTGTGATAATTCATTTAAATAAAATATAAATTTAGATATATGGTAGTTATTATATGGAAAAAGCTACTTGTACAATTTTTTTGTACAACATTCAATAACAACATCATGGGTGACTGATATGCAAATAATTGGAGTAGATCAATTTAAAAACCCATCGAAGCATTCTTTCTGCTGGAAGTCAGGCATCATGCCCAAAAAGTTAGTGCAATAGAAAGGCATTTAATGGAGTCTTTCTACCCTCAGAGGTCTCAACCTAGGACAAGTGGTCTAAATAAGCTTTCTTTTACTGAGTTCAGGGATCTCTGGTTCTATAGAATCGTCTTTTTTAAGCCCAAGTTGAAAAGGGTTACTGGTTGGTAGAATATCTGGTGCGAGTATTGTACGTCTAAAGCCTTCTCTTACAAGGAGAGAATATACCACTCCAATTCCGGACTTCCAGGCTTGGTTGCTTACGTCAATTACATCGTACCTTGAACCATTTTTTTGATTAACCCTAGATGAGTTCGATTCTTGAAGGCTTTTTACTGAGTTGTCCGAAGACCAGGATTGGTAGCAAGGGTTTCGATGACCTTCTATGTACCCACCTCGTCCTTAGGAGTGAACTCGCCTCTCAACTATCTTCGGTCATTACCTTGAAAATCTACTACTAAAGCTATTATGAAGGCTGGTGTGGAATTGAAACTGCTAAGGCTCGGAACTGAACTACACATTCTATTTCTATTATAGTCAAGAATTGAGCTCGACCATAGGTCAATGTAATCTTTAGAAGTTCAGTCATATAATCTTCGAAGACTAATGAGGACTACATCCGGGGGCGCTCCTTCCTTCTATCTACGCCATGCCATTCTCAAAAAAACTTCTTGCTGCTAAACCGCCCTTACCATAGCTAGCCTCCACTAAATAAAGTAAGATAGATTTGAACTATTTGGGGGGAAAAATTCACTGTTGAGCCCGTTATTATCCAGGGATGTATATATCTATGTGATTCTGGATAATCGTTGCTCAGACGAGTCCAGGTTGGAGAGCAAGGTGTGAAGGACCCTAGGGAACAGAGCGCTTCTTGACGGGGTCAGGGTCGATATAATTGAGAAATAGATGGTTTATAATTTTATCGCATTCCCCAATTATGGCCTCTATCATTATTTCCCGCACTTCGTCCTGGTTGTGTTCCGGGGTAAACTTACGCGGGAAAAAAGAAATGCAGGAGCACACTATTATCCAAAGAGTTGTGGGAAGGATCATGGTATTAGATAGTGTGATAAGGCGCGATGATAATTGCCCTCATTTTTCTTTTTAATTCGATATATTCTCTCCGTACAGCTCCGTCAAGCCTGTACGAGTAGTGAAGAACTATAGTGAGTTGTGGTTGTTGACCAACAGAAAGCATGGAAATTTGCTCCCCTACTAGTCCTATAAGTTGGGGCGAGATCAAGTTCAGCTTCTAAGGCTGGCAGCTGGTTTCCGTGGTGGGGTTCTTCCTATAAATGGGGGCGGTTTACATGATGAAGTGAAGAAGCATACGTGAGCGCCTTCCTGAAGAGGTCCCGTCTCCACTATTTTGCAGCGGAGCTTCCCCCCTTGAGACTAGTGAGCTATGCACAGAACGAGGAGCGGATATTTCTCTATTTGATGCTGGAGGAGTGCGTGCGTGCGAGACTTCTGGATGCGGAAATCCCGTGATATCTGCTTCTTTCATTTCTTGTATAGAGCATTTCTTTCTTTGTACCATCAGTCATTTATTATTAAGGCATCGATCCATATGATCATAAAGAGGTCGATTGGTGAGTCACCCCCAGCATCGAGAAATGTCAAGCATATATGTTTTCAAAAATGATCAGCGCTTTCATTTATGTTATGCAGTTAGTTACTATCTTTAGGCTTTAGGGTCGTCTTCCTGTGTGTTTATTGAGCTTTCTTCACTTTTTTCCATGTGCTTTGCTTCAGTTCGCTTTATAGAAGAGAGAAACCAAAGGAGAGTGAAAAGCAAAAGGGCAAGCAATAGAAACGTCCCTACTATCAAATTGTGAGATCATTAGTGACCTAAGGACCAACGACGAGCATATCCTAAAAGTGCCACCAGCAGAGTCCGACATCTTCTTACGTTAAGTAAGTAGGATTTCTCTCACAAGTCAAAGTCTTATTAGCGCTTACCTTCACCGCTCAGCAAACATCTCAAAGCCTTACTACTAACGGACTGGGCTCGTTGCCTATCTCCTTCATTTCCTCTCCTTTATAGTCGAGCCTACTTCGTCACCTTGACCCTTTCGTCACTTTCTTTCAGAACCTTGTTACTTGACTTTTAAGCTGTCTTTTCGCCTGAGGCTTTCGGACAAGACTACTAACTCCAGTAGATCAATTACATCGAACCTCTCCCGCCCTTCGATGAATGAATGACACCCACCCTTACTCCTTCTGAGGCGAGACCAACCCAACAAACGAAGCGAAGCGAAGTGAAGAAAAAGAGAGGAAGGTTAGATGCCAATTGAAAGAGTGGTAATGATGACCTGGTGGCTCTCTCTGCCCTTTGGATATAGGCAAAAATCAATTCACTACTCCCTTGAGTCAGGGCAACTCAAATAGGAATGACAAGGAAGGGTTTTGGTGCTATCACTGTAAACACACTTGTTGGCCTCTTTCGGACTAGCTAATAGGAGGTTCAAATACTTGTTGAGAAAAGTGTAAAGGGGCGGCAGGTGCGCCGCCCCACTTGATTAAAAAAAAAATAAAATAAAAAAAAATAAAAAAAATGAAAGTGATAGGAAATTACTGGGGCGGTGCCACATGCAGCCACCCCATATGCTCTTATTAAAAAAATAATAATAAATAAATTATTTGCAATTTGATGGCCAATTGGCCAACTTCTCACCCTATAAATAGGGGAGCTCGGGCGAGAGTAAAGATGCACAAGAAAAGGAGAGAAAAAGAGAAGAAAGAAAGGGAGAAAGAAAGGAAATAAGAGAAAGAAAAAATATTCCATCCGAAAGAATATTTGAGAGATAAAAATAGAGAAAAAAATTATCAGAGTGATATTTTTATTTTTAAGTGCTCAATTCTCGACTCCGTTCCAGTTCGCCGGAGCTCGTAAATCTGGTGTGCTACAGATTAAGAGACGTTTGCCGTTGTATCTTTGGGGAAGTTACGCCTGAACCGTTAGCAACACACGAGGCGTATTCTTCTTGCGGAAAGAGTTTACTCGCCTTGGCTTTAATCTTTTCATTTTGTTTTTTAAGTTTTAATTTATTTTCAGTTGTAATTTATTTTTCAGTTCAATTGTAATTTTCTATTTTAGATTATTTGTAAGAACTGAGAAATACATATCAGTTCGTAGGATTCCCGTGTAATTTGACAAAGGTTTTAACAATCGCAAGAAGAATAACTCAACCTACTGGACTGATGGCATCCACCGGAAATGGTTCCAACACTCAGCATCCAATCAATCATGTACCTGCTGTCCATGTCCCTACTGCTGGAGAAGCCCGAAAAATTCAATTGGCTTGATTTTAAAAGGTGACAACAAAAGATGCATTTTTACCAGACCAATTTGGGTTTGGTGAAATACCTGAAGGACGACCCCCCCGGTTATTGCTGAAAATGAGACAAATGCTGAACTACTCACTGCGTACGAAGCTTGGGGGCAAGGTGGTTACCTTTGCCGTAACTATGTCCTGAATGGACTTAGTAATGAGTTGTACAATGTGTACAGCTCGGTTGGTTCTGCCAAAGAGCTTTGGGCTGCTTTGGAGAAGAAGTACAAGACTGAGGATGCCGGGGAGAAGAAATTCGTCTTCGGCAAGTTTCTTGACTTCAAGATGGTCGACTCTAAGACCGTCGTGTCCCAAGTGCAAGTGTTTCAACTTATCTTGCACGATATCCATGCTGAAGGAATGTCTCTAAGCGAGTCATTCCAAGTTGCGGCTGTGATTGAAAAGCTGCCGCCGGGTTGGAAAGATTTCAAGAACTACCTCAAACATAAGAGGAAGGAGATGAGTCTTGAAGACCTGGTTGTTCGTCTTCGTATTGAGGAGGACAACCGTAATTCAACGGCGAAGGGTAAGTCATATGGACTTTTAATGAATCCCTAACCTTGTAAAGGTGGAGTAATACAGGATACTCTTGATAGGGAAGTCACCTATATAAGTGTGAAGTGTGGGCCGCTTCAAATGTAAACACTTATGAATCCAAAGTGATGTCCATGGCCAAAATGCAAACAACGATAGAACGGAATGGAGTTAAGACTATATTGTGTGAATGTCATTGTCTTGGTGTACACTATGGAGGAATAGTTCAAGGCATTATGTCCACTAGGCCGCCAGTGCATCCGATGATATTTACTACGAAAGGTTCAAAACCAAAAACTACCTTTTCTGATACAATAGAGTTTTGTGAGGATTGAACACAATAGTATATATATTTAATTTACACTTTTGTGGGGGATTGTTTGAGAAAAGTGTAAAGGGGCGGCAGGATAAAATAAAATGAAAGTGATAGGAAATTGCTGGGGCGGTGCCACATGCCGCCACCCCATATGGTCTTATTAAAAAAAAAATTAATAAATAAATTATTTGCAATTTGATGGCCAATTGACCAACTTCTCACCCTATAAATAGGGGAGCTCGGGCGAGAGTAAAGATGCACAAGAAAAGGAGAGAAAAATAGAAGAAAGAAAGGGAGAAAGAAAGGAAATAAGAGAAAGAAAAAATATTCCGTCCGAAAGAATATTTGAGAGATAAAAATAGAGAAAAAAAAATTACCAGAGTGATATTTTTATTTTTAAGTGCTCAATTCTCGACTCCGTTCCAGTTCGCTACAGATTTAGATCTTTGGGGAAGTTACGCCTGAACCGTTAGCAACACACGGGGCGTATTCTTCTTGCGGAAAGAGTTTACTCACCTCGGCTTTAATCTTTTCGTTTTGTCTTTTAAATTTTAATTTATTTTCAGTTGTAATTTATTTTTCAGTTCAATTGTAATTTTCTATTTTAGATTATTTATAAGAACTGAGAAATACATATCAGTTCGTAAGATTCCCGTGTAATTTGACAAAGTTTTTAACAATACTACCCAAGGGGTTAATCCAAAGAACAAAGAATTATACACTTGCCAGAAGACGATTCTCCGATCTTGCTCTATTTTCCTTCACTTCCCTTCGTTTTATTATATATTCCACACCATCGTTTATGCGAGGTTTGGATTTAGTGATTTACACGTCATCTCATCCCTTCTCCCACTCAACATATGCCGTACCTTTTGAAGCTTATTTATCCTTAAAAACCCTCATAAATCATGAGGTAAGAAATAATAATACAATTGCGTGCTGTACCTAACAAACTGAATTGAAAAACCCAGCTCAAAATTCATCTGACATGTCAATACCTCATCTTCCCCCGAAACCAGCAATCTTCCTCAGAACCACCATTAATGGCGCCTCCACCTCCTCCACCTCATAACCCGTCTCCCTCTGCCTCCGATTACTCCAACTCCGCCGCCTCCGCCTCCGCGTATCGCCCGCCGATTCCCCTCTCTTCCATCACCACCGCTGCCGCGGCCGCCTCCTCTTCCTCCTCCTCCGGCGTCATGAACTACCTCTGGATCCCACTTCTCCTCGCTCTCTCCAAGGAGCTCGCAGGCTCCGCCACCGCTGGCTCCACTGCCTCGCTCCTCTCCTTGCCGAGCCAGGCCGGCGGTTTCCCGGCGGTTTCACGGTGCCCCACTGAGGATCCTAACCTCAACTTCCGTCCAGTGATTGGAATCCTCAGCCACCCTGGGGACGGCGCCTCCGGCAGGCTCAGCAACGATTCTGATGCCTCCTACATCGCTGCCTCTTATGTTAAGTTTGTGGAGTCAGCTGGCGCGAGGGTTATTCCCCTTATCTACAACGAGCCTTTGGAGGTTCTTAATGATGTAATGCACCACCTACTTTACGCATTTCTCCTCCCCTCCGTGGAATGTATATGTTTATTGTCTTTCGTTTTCAATTTATATTGATTAAAAGTAGTTGTTGACCTACTGCCTCTGGTCATGCTAATAATTCTGGTTGGTTATTGACAATGTATGATCAGTGAGAAAGAGATTAATCATAAACATGTGGAACGTTTGATCCTCTGACCTTCATGACTATGAAAGTATGGATGTTTCCTTCTTTCATCCCTCTGTCTCGTTGTCATTGAGAAAGAGACAGTAAAAGGAATTCTAATGAAAAGTGGTATATACATGTGTCCACAAGCGATTGCGTTGAATTTTCTGATAGAACTATCTTATATTTCAATTTTCTGCCAACACATCTATGGTTGAAATGTGCTGATTCTGTCAGAATGTGAATATCCTCCGAACACGAAGGTGTTTCGATGTGGTTTAAAAGAGGCCATCATTTCATTTGATATTGGTGAATATTGTGTTACACTTACACCCTTTTGTTGTATTGATGATCACTGATGCATCGCACATCAGCAGATCTATTGTTATTGACTGAATTCTGTACTTTGTTAATTGTTCATCGAACCATGTTCCCCTAAATTGCCAGAGTTAACTTATACTTTATGCTGCAGAAACTCAAATTGGTCAATGGAGTAATCTTAACAGGAGGGAGGGCCAAAACAGGTCTCTACTTTAAGGTGGTTGGGTCGATATTTAAGGTGCATTCTAAACTTGAACACAACATCTTTTTCTACCACCTTGTTATCAGTTACCAATTGAAATATGCACATGAAATAAGACATACTTTATCTTTGGTTTTTGATTTGTGGTTATAATTTTTCTTTCTGTTTTGCTGCTAAAGTAGGACTAAACATTCTTGCAGTTAAACATGAATAAGATTTTATCGATTCATTCAGACTTAGCAAATAAATAACTTGACATGTATTTTCTCTATATCATATTGCAAAGTTTACAAACTATTGGTTCCGATTTAAAAATGTTTGTTGTTTTGTAGCGCGTTGGTAGCCGTGAATATAGTTAAGTATTTTAATAGTTTGATTTCGGGGACATGGTCTTGTGGTCCTTTTATGGCCTGTATGTAACAGTAAATATTTTACATATACTAGTAGTTAGATAACAGACATTTTTTTAGCAATTTTCTAGGCCACCATCCTATGATTTTGGTTTGCTCTGATCTTGATTTTCTAGCCTGTATCCTATGATTTTTTTAGCAGTGGATTTATCCTGTAACATTAACATTAAATGTTGTATTTCAGGGAAAATAAAATCCAACGACATTTTCATATCATGACTGACATATTTATCTCTTATGTGCAGAATGTTCTGAAAAAGAATGATGGTGGAGATCATTTTCCTTTGCTTGCGATATGCTTAGGTTTTGAACTGTTAACGATGATCGTCAGCGAGGTAAGCTGTGTAGAACTATTCACATATTGTTTCAAGCAATATTAACAACAATTAAGAGAGACACCCTCATTCCATCGCATTTATGTCTCTGTCCTAGTGGAGAGAAGGGGAATAGGTGGCAAAAGAGAGAAAAGTCATGATGGTTTATAGTTTTCATGGAATTGCATGCTTAACGTGTTACTTATTTTCCAGTAGTTCAATAAAGACCTTGGATAGATGTCACTTACATTAAGCAAGCAGAGCATTGCTACTTCTATCCCCTGCTGCACATTAGATGATTATTATGAACTTGCTGACATTGTGGGTTAATGTTTTTTATTATATGCCTCACAAACATGGATTTTTGGTTTATATCAGCTCCTGTCTTGGATTTCATTTCTTATATATTTCTGACATTCTGTTACGTTATACTAGGACTTCCAGTTTACGTTCCATTTAAGTCAACACAGATTTTGATTAATTAGCTTCGACTTGTTTATCCATGTAAGTTTACCATTTCTATTATTTGTTACAGGACCAAAACATTCTGGAGAATTTCAATGCAGTTAATCAAGCTTCGACATTGCAATTCATAGAAGGCATAAATCTAAAGAGAACTGTGTTTCAAAGGTTATATCTGAAGTTAATTTGACAGTTATGTTTTCAGGTTCCTTTTTGATACAAAATCACTCCCACTATAGCATGATGTTGCAATTGCAATTCATTTGACTGGTGAATTTTGAAATGCTAGACTACCATGAAAATGAATTGCTCTTGTTGCAGTTGATGTTTTGTGACTTTAGTCTCATTGGTGTATAGTTGTTACCCTGAAACTGTTAAAAGTTCGTATGATGCAAGCATGACTCTAACTACTTTTTTTTGATAGCTCATTACTGTTATATCCAGAAAATTTTACGTCTTTGGTTCTGTGCTGATGACAAATTAGAAGCATAAACTTCAGGCCCTATAATTTTGAAATTGGTTGGCACACCATAGATGAAACAAGACTGTAACCATCCCGGACGGTTCTGATTCTTGTTTCAGAATCTTAGTTTTGTTGAGAACGATTCACTGTCTCATTCATCCAATAGAGTTCCATATCCGAATTTCTGAGTAAAATTCCATGGAAACAATGATCCTGATTTCGCTGCTCATGAATCATTACTTTAAATCTATTTGCTGCATGTTTCCGTATAGCCTAATGTCATGGCTAGGCCAAAACTCTTTCGGCAGGGCCATTAAGTCGCAGTGCTTGATTTTTAGTAGATTGCTTTGTTTTGGTTTAAGAATAATAGTATCAACAAGCCGTTAAAATCCCACTAAGTGGGGTCAGCTATATGGATCACATGTCGCCATCGTGCTCGATCAAAACACATATCCTCATTCAAATTTAAATATTTTAAAAGAATAACAGAATATGACTAGATAAAAATGAATACAATTCAATTGCCTCATAACAGACAATTCATGTCTAGTAAAAATTGTTACGGTAGTTATGAGAAGATCTATGTGGCTTTACAAAGGCAGTGGCTTGGTTAAGGGAACCCACCGGAGCCATAGCGAAAGCGAGTCTTCATAGGGCAATTGTCACTGCTTATGGACTCGATTAGATGGAAATGAGTTGAAAAAAAAAAGCCACAATTCCCTAATCCAAAAAGACTTCAATTATTTTGTTTTTGAGAAATAACTGAAATAGATGCATTTTTGACCATAAAAAAACTCCTCGTACGGCTTGCGAAAAATGATTTGATTCGCAGTTTTGTCTATGTATGCAATTCGAATAAATTGAATCACAAGCGGGCAAATCAATTAAACTAGAACTCGAATTTCTCCCCTTTTTTCTTCCTGCAAAGGAAAAAGAAACCATTCGTACTCATAACTCAAGTTAGATAACTTTTCAAATAGTTCAAAGAAAAAATTTTGAGTCAATTTTCTTTATTGAGTAGGCTTTACCCAATTTCTTAGATGTATTACCGCATCCCCAAGGGTTATATAATTAAGACTATTTATTCAACAAATTTGATTGGTTAATCAGCACGACGCTTGTGTTGAAGAGATTGAACTTTTCCCAAATTTTGATTAACTTAATTTCTTTCTCTTTTCATCTATGTTATTTTCATTTGTGTATTGTCTGTTGGGCCGTGCATCACTTGTCTATTTGACTGGAAGTAGAACTCTACTGGAGAAACTTTTACTACATCTCTATATTCGTAAAATCTTACCTTTGATCTGTGTGACCGGTGCATTGTATGTATATATGCATTACTGTTTATTGAGCAATACCTGGCACTTACTATCTTTATTTGCGGACTGGTAAAACCAATACGCATTCATGTGATCCACTTTTGCTTTTATTTGATTATTACTATATGTCCAGAACTACCATTTCCCAAATACTCATTCAGAGAAATTATTCTACCTAGAAATGTGGATCATATCTTTATAAGGCTTGCTGTTTGTATTATCCCTTTTCTTTCAGTATTTGGTTCTTATAAAGAAAACACATTCCCTTTTCAGGTTTCCTCCGCCTTTGCTAGAGAAGCTAAGGACAGAATGCCTCGTGATGCAAAATCACCGTGTAAGTGCAGTTTGTCTTTCTGTGATTGTAGTTTTATGTTGTTCTGCTAGATGACTGCATAGAAATTTGGGTCAGCAGCAACGTCGTTGTGCATTTTATTCCCCTTAGAATAAATGCTTTCCTTCAAGCTCTAATGAATGGCACGAGAAACAATAGAAGTATATACTTGTATTGTACTTAGAATATATTAGGTGAATTCTTTGGCATTTTAATTGTTTTAGCAACTGCATGTATTGTGAGAGCTTCGTCTGTTCGAAAATATTCAAGGTGGACGCTAATTCTCTTTTTCCAACTCTTTTTTTTCTCGGCTGTATACTTGAAAAAAATACAACTAATAGTCTTCAGGATATAAAAATTAAAATTTAACTACAACTATTATTATCAATTTTAGAAAACCTTCTCTTTTGTATAGCCAGTTCACTATAGTGTAGCTTATCAGTTACTTATATAACCAGTCTCATTTCCTGTTACTGGCAGCTTGGCATTTCACCTGTTAAGTTCCAAGGAACCAAGAACCTCAGCAGTTTCTTTGAGATCCTAACAACTAGTACTGATCAAGATGGCAAGGTATTGAAGGAACCACAGTTGTTGTGCATTCATGTTAACTCCGTTTTGTCTTCCATTTCGTTCCACTATATTTGTTGACATCCGAGCTTTGTTATTATCACGTTCTGTATAATCAACTTGTATTAGGTCTATGTTTCAACAGTTCAGGCACACAAATATCCAGTGACTGCTGTTCAGTGGCATCCAGAGGTACTGCTTATATTTATTTTATCGAATTTTCATTTGTAATGGAGATGTACATATCTGTTTCCTTTAGGTAGATTTGTAGACCAGTGGCATAAAATATTAAGTTCTGTCTCTTTCAATTTGTTGGAGCATACTACTGAAATGAAATTAGATACTAATTTAGGTAAAAAAATAAAATAAAATGTTATTTTACGTTTTAACTGGAGAAAGAAAATGCTCAAGTGGGCTATGTCTTCCTTACTAGGCAAACATTCTATTGATAATATAACTACTCAAATGTTAGCAGTTTACTACATTAATCACTAATGGTGGGACAATGATGATAATACTGGGATGAACATTAGCCCATTTACTAATTCACAACTTCAAGTCTTGTTTCCCTATCCCAAAACTTTAGAATATTTTAGATGTGGAACTCCATACATTCCCTCATGGATCCAAAACCTAATTCGTCAACATAATACCAACAGTGGGCATCCTGGATAAAAGGACTGTGGCCTTCTCTTACTTGCTGTCATCTTCTAGACATGCATAAACAATACATTGTCTGTCTTTATGTTTATTTTTCATTATATTGGTGTTATTCCCATCACTCAATTCCAGATAAGCATACTTTGGACATATTTTTAAATTATAGAGCAAACAAACTCATACATGTGAGAACTTGATATTAACTCTTGTTGGAATTTACAAATTTCGCTTCTTTGATCAGAAAAATGCTTTTGAGTGGGGCTTATCACGTATCCCACACTCAGAAGATGCCGTTGAAGTCACTCAGCTTGTTGCTAACTTTATTGTGAGGTAACATTTTCGAATTTGTTGCGTTGTGTGTTTGGCAATGTATGAGATATAGATTATAGACATTGTAGTTGTATATTATAGAATATATCATCCATAACTTGATGGTCCTTGAAGTTCAGGTGGCAAACACTGGTGCCCTAGGTGCAATTGTTAAACTCAACTGGCATGCATGGTCTTTTCTGTCATTGTCATATTCTAAACTAAATGTTAGTTTTGATGCCTTTATAAATGTTTTGTACTCCTTCCATACCACTCAAGGATAATAAGTTTGCTATGTCAAAGACATGTTTTTGAAATGTTAAAGGCTATTGTTAATCCTATCAGAACTTATTGTGCAGTTCCTGCTTGGATTTGAAATACGCGTGTACACACCTCTACATAATAATCTCCTAACTCATGAAGTTTTAATTGATACTGCTTTATATTGTATGACTATCAGAGAAGCTCGGAAGTCTATGAACAGGCCATCTCCCCTGGAAGTACTAGACAACGTCATATATAATTACAGCCCCACATATTGTGGAAAGGCCGGGTATCTCTCTCTCTCTCTCTCTCTCCCTCTCCCTCTCTGTGCATGCCTGTAGGTCCTNATTTTTTTTTTTTATATATATATCTTTTCTTTTGCTGAGGTTGATTATATAAGGGGAAGGAGCAATAATTTTGTTTCCATGTTTGCAGTAGGGGCTTTGATGAGGTTTACATATTCAGCAGCATCCCCAAGCTTTCTGGTAAAATGTAACTTGAAATAGAAGTGTAAATAAGGATGATGATGAATCCACATGATAAGTTGTAAATTCAAGAGCTGTACTATATCCCTATTGGTTTGGTGCTTATTACACCAGAAAGATCGAAGAATATAAAACGGCTATGAGCTTTTAGCACCTTTCCGAATGGTTTCTTAAGAAACCTAGTGCAAGTCTAATAATCTAGAAACAGGTTTTCAAGGCCTTAATCTGTCTGGTATACCCGGCATGACCAAACCGGCTACTTGGCCTCGTCTAGCGCCGCTCAACTGTCTCAATCACAAGTTCCCACATTGATCACTTACTTATAAATTAGATTATGTATAATATTACCATGTACTCATCCCACATGCCAGAAGGCCAGGACATGCAAATGCATAAACAATGAGCGTTTGCACATATTAAAATATACAGGACAATATAATAAATGAGATCCAAGCACTCCTCTCATCTCACTCATTCACAAATGCTCGAAAATTTTCACATACAATATACGGAATTATGACAATTTTTATTTTTTTGGTAGTAAAACAGATAAAAACTAAATGAAGTACAGTAAGGGAAATCTAAAATCTAGCACAAAGTCAGGTCATATTTTGCCCTCTTACACATGTTAGCAACTCCAAAGCCCTCTTACATTTTGCCAATATCAACACTTATTTTCATTCTCTTTATGATTGATAAATAAAATAAATAAATGATAAAAAGGCATACAAAGGATTTAGATTTCAAGTTTTAAACAGTTAAACCTTCCCTCTTTTCTATCCCATCATATATTGGAATTTCCTCATTAATGCACGATTACTTCCCTCAAATTTGTGCAATCCATTTTTGGGCTCACAAATTTGCTATAAAATCACCAAAACAATACAAACCAAATCATATTAACTATCTCCTCATGGCCAGGCTCAAAATCTTTCATTTCACAATTCTATTCCTCAATCTCCTGCCCTTTTCCTCCCATATTGTCTACTCAAAGTCTTCAGGTTTCACCCTAAAACTCATCCCATGGGACTTCCCCCAGTCACCCTTCTACCAACCAAATCTCACTCAAACACAAAAGGTACAAATAATGGCTATGTCCTCCAAAGCACGGTCCAAAATCTACCCAGTCGAAAAAAACGGGACTTCCAACACAAAGATACAAATCCCAATGATAAAGGACAAAGATCTTCGATACTCCGTAAACATCAAAATCGGAAACCCAGGCAACGAAGCCACTCTTCTTCTCGACACAGGCAGCGGTGCCATTTGGACAGATTGCCAGCAATCTAATCCTCACTACAACTCGAAAAGATCCAAGACTTACAAAAAACTGCCATGTCAGCATCCCATGTGCAAAATGGCAAAAAATTTCTGCCAATGCATAAAGGGGAAGTGTGTTTGCACACTAAGATACGGCATAGAAGGCGGGATAAAAACCGAGGTCCATGCAATCCTCTTGTCCGACACATTCACTCTGCCACTAAAGAATAAAAGCTCACGGACTTTTAAAGAAATGATTTTCGGGTGCACGAACAGGTCCCCTGTATTCTCCGGGATTCTTGGCTTGAACAAATTGCCAGTTTCTTTAATAAGTCAGATTAGGAAAAGCGTTCGGGGACAATATTCATACTGCCTGCACCAAGGGCATGGCTATTTGAGGTTTGGTGATGACATCCCGAAAATCGGGAAAGATGTGAAAACAACACCAATATTACATCCTTCGGCCGAGACAATGTGTCTAGATTTGAAAGATATAAGTGTAGCTGGGAAAAAGCTGGGAATATCTCCAGCTATATTCTCATATTCACAGGGGGGATTTTTTATTGACACTGGGACTCAAATCACAGTCCTCAAGAGACAAGCTTATGATAAGGTGATGAAAGCATTTGCAAATTTTTACGACGTTCGGCTTAAACGGGCCAGTAAGAAGATTCAGCACCTGGACCTTTGCTATAAGCAAAATTCCACCATGAGTAGTAATTATGCTAACATGACCTTTCATCTACAAGGGGCGGATTATGTGCCCAGTCATATGTATGTAGCGCCTGAGATAGGTATTATGTGCATTGGTATAATGCCAGGAGAATTATCTATACTGGGAGCATTGCAGCAGTTCAATAAAAGGTTTGTTTTTGACATAAACAATAATGTGATGAAGTTTGTCGGTGAGGATTGCTCAAAAGATAGAGGACAATAATAGGCTTATTATGAAATGAGACGATTTAGAAGAAGATTACATTAACTTGCATGATATATATTTTATACTTCTCCCGTTCTTACATTCTAATAAATATTTAAATATATCATTTCCTTTCCATTTGTTCATTAGGTTGCCTTATGCCTGCAACTAATTCTTTGTTCAATTTCTTCTCAGTTAGATATTGAAATACAAAGCCTACATCCATTCTTACTATAAATTAAAGATTGACATATCTAGGATTTCAATATCTATAGTCCAGATTCAATGCAGTCCGTAGACTATAAATGAAACAGATAATACCAACTTTATATCTGAAGGCAAATAAAATTAATACAACAACCCAATAGGAAAAAAGCCAGAACCAACTAATTCAAGATAACATTTTCTTTAATATCAAGATTATCACATCTACAAGTCATATACACCTGAAACTTAAATCAGTTATAATCTGTCTCATATTTATTTAATGTACTAAGGGGAAGGGACATGACAAAACATTGCACCAGGAAAATGGCAAGGAATCAAATATCACTTTCCAGAATTCTAGTCTTCCTTTCCCTCATATTCTTCGATAGAATCACACCAAGAACCCAACGATTTTGCATGAAACTCATCCCATGGGACTCACCCAACTCCCCTTTTTACCCTGGAAAACTCAGTCCACTCGAAAAACATCACAGCATCATTTCGCACATAAGTTCCACTGCAAATTTGAACGAAATTCAATTTGCCGTGGAGCACCAAGACAACCTCCGTTTCTCAGTAGATATTGAAATCGGCACCAATATAAAACTACTAGTCGACACTGACGGCGGCTACCTTTGGACTCGATGCTCATTGCCAACTCACCCACCGTTAAACTCCGTAACTTAACAAAAACTACCCTGTAACCATCACATGTGCCCGAAAGAAATTTGCAAATGCATCAAAAACCGATGTGTTTGCAACATCTATCATCGGTCGAGCGGTAATAACTTCAAACTTGCAGGCTCTGTCGATAAATTTCACATACCCGGTTCAAATAAGAAAGTAGACATAGTTTTTTGGTGCTCAATGCCGCAATTTTCAAATCTTTCTGGGACACTGGGACAGGTCACCAGTTTCTCTTTTAAGCCAAATAAGGGAAGAGTCTGAAGGGAGATACTCGTACTGCCTGCATAGTGGAGATAGTTACTTGACATTAGGAGAAGACATTTCCAGTCAAGGTAAAAAAGTAAAAAGCACGCCTCTAATACACAACCATAGTCCCACATTATTCCTGAATTTGACAGACATAAGTGTGAATGAAAAAAGGCTAGGCCTTTCTCCAAGACTGTTTGCACTGAAAAACGGCGGCGTTTACATGGACACTGGACTCCTTACACAGTGACCGCGAAAGAAGCATACAATAAGGTGAGCCAAGCGTTTGAAAGACACTTGAAAGGAAAACTGAAGAAGATGGCAGTCGCGCAAGGAAATCTCAAACCTTGCTACAGAGTGACAGCTGGCTTTAATAACTTCCCGACCATGACTTTTCATTTTCAAGGGGCTGATTTCGAAGCGAAAATCACGCACATTGTGGATGATGCAACTGGTGTTGCTTGCACTGCAGTTATGCCGGGAAGGACTGAGGACACTAAGATTATGTTTGTGTTGGGAAAAATACGCTGAATTTTCCATGAAGTCGGATCTATAAAAGTGAAATAAAAAATAAAAATTGGACACACCAAATTGATAACGGAGTTCGGCCAATAATGCCTACGTCTCCGAACTACTGCAGATATTTTATTGGCAAAAAGAAATACACTCGTGTTTACAAAACACTCTCAAACTCACTCACAACTCACAACTCAAATACACACATAAGCTAAATTTTTATTAGCTCGCTCTCTCTTTCTCTTCTCTTATGTTTTTCTTTTGTGTTTGGTATTTTGTTGTGATGTCTGAAGCCCTCATTTGCCTTGTATTTATAATGGAAGAGTTCATTAATTTGTCCACAAGTTGATCACGTCCAACAGCAATAATTAATGCCTTCACATGCATTTTTCAACAAAAGGCTGTTTCAATTTTTTTCTTCCTTTGTGTGCTGTCAAAAGAAATGGGCGCAGCCCTTATTTTGACTCAACAATCTCCCACTTGAGGACTGATTTCAATCTGTCCTCACACCTCAATTACTGCAGTAGTCTTCTCCGGTCTGTTATTCTAGCAGGCCAACTGAAGTTGAACACAACTTCAGTTTGTCAATGGTCACCACCTTCGTTAGCATATCTGCTGGGTTCTTGCTTCCTACAATCTTGTTCAAAGTCAACACTTCATCCTCGAGAAGAGATCTGATGAAATGATATCGTATGTCAATGTGCTTAGTTCTGGAGTGAAACACTGAGTTCTTTGCCAGATGTATTGCACTCTGACTGTCACTGTGCAAGACACTCTCCTTTTGAGTGAAACCCAACTCTGCTAACAATCCTTGAAGCCATATTAATTCTTTACTGGCTTCTGTCACTGCTACATACTCAACCTCTGTAGTGGATAGAGCAACAATCTTTTGTATCCGCGACATCCAACTAACAGCTGTAGCTCCGACAGTGAAAACATAACCGGTGGTGCTTCTTCGGTGATCAACTTCACCTCCAAAGTCTGCATCTACGTAGCCCTGTAACTTTAGATCTCCTTTTCTAAAGTACAAACATTTTTCTGTTGTGCCCCGTAGATATCTCAAAATCCATTTGACTGCTTCCCAATGAGCTTTTCCTGATTTTGACATAAACCTGCTCACAACTCCCACTGCATGGCCAATGTCTGGCCTCGTACAGACCATCGCGTACATCAAACTTCCAATGGCTGAAGCATAAGGAATCTTAGCCATGAACTCTTCTTCTTCTTTTGTTTGAGGAGACTGATCCTTGGATAGACGAAAATGGCTGGCCAAAGGTGTACTGACTGGCTTAGCCTTGTCCATGTTAAATCTCTGCAAAACACGGTTGATGTACTCTGCCTGAGATAACTGCAAAACTCCCTTTTGCTTATCTCTCGTGAATTACATTCCAAGAATCTTCTTTGCTGGGCCTAAGTCCTTCATGTCAAATTCTTTTGACAACTGCATCTTTAATTCTTTGATGTCTTTCATATCTGATCCTGCTACTAACATGTCATCGACATAAAGTAGCAAGATGATATAGCTGGACTCATACTTCTTAAAGAAGCAACAGTGATCGGCATTGCACTTCTGGAAACCTTCATTGTGCATGAAGCTTTCGAACTTCCTATACCACTGTCTTGGAGCTTGTTTCAGGCCGTACAAGCTCTTCTTCAATTTGCACACCATATCCTTCTTTCCATCTGAAAATCCTTCAGGCTGGTGCATATAGATCTCCTCATCTAGGTCTCCGTGAAGAAATGCAGTCTTCACGTCTAATTGCTCTAGGTAGAGCTCTTCACTAGCCACAATACTTAACACAGTCCTGATAGTATTGAGCTTTACAACTGGAGCAAAGATTTCAGTATAGTCAACTCCTTCTTTCTGCTGAAATCCTTTGACAACCAGTCAGGCTTTGTATCTCCTGGAACCATCATGGTCTTCCTTCACCCGATACACCCATTTGTTGTGAAGTGCTTTCTTTCCCATAGGTAACTTGACTAGTTCCCATGTCTGATTTGAGATCAAGGACTTCATCTCATCTTTCATGGCAAGCTCCCACTTGCTAGCATCTGTGGTTTGACAAGCTTCCATATAACTTTCAGGCTCCCCTCCATCAGTCCGCAGCATGTAGTCCATGTATCTCCTGTTAGGCACATGGGGCCGAGAGGACCTTCTCAATACAGGAGCTGGAGTAAGAGGTTCTGATTGCACATCACTTTCTTCATTTGATTCCTCTGAATGAGGACTCCTCGTTATAGGACTGTCTGGGATATCTTCCAGCTCAGCATAAACTGACCCACTCACTTCTGAGTTGCTGGCACTTGTGTTATGCTGGTCCTTGTACATCACTCTTTCATTAAAGATGACATCTCTGCTGCGGATCATCCTTTTGTTTTCGTCATCCCATAAGCGGTAGCCAAACTCATCTTCACCATAACCAAGGAAAGTACATTTCTTTGATTTTGGATCAAGTTTGTTTCTACCTTGATCACTGATGTGCACATAAGCTACACACCCGAAAACTCTAAGATGTGAGAGTTTTACTTCTTTTCCGCTCCATACCTCTTCTGGTAACTTGTGATCCAGTGGTACCGATGGACTTCGGTTGATCAAGTAAGTTGCTGTGTTGACTGCTTCTGCCAAGAACTGCTTTGGTAGGCCTGACTGCACACGCAAGCTTCTGGCTCTTTCAGTCAACGTTCGATTCATACGCTCAGCTACACCATTGTGTTGAGGGGTACGTACCAGGCACAGTTCTCTCCATTCTGATCCCGTGCTCGTAGCAAAACTTCTTGAATCTGGTGGTTACGTATTCACCACCATTGTCGGATCTGAGCTTCTTGATCTTCAAGCCTGTCTCATTTTCCACCATAGCTTTCCAAATCTTGAAAGCTTCAAATACTTCTGACTTGTGTTTCAGAAAGTAAACCCATACTTTTCTGGAGTGATCATCGATAAAAGTCACGAAGTATTGCTTCCCACCAACGGATGGGACAGTGGTTGGACCCCAAACATCAGAGTGGACGAGCTCAAGTTTCTCCTTCTTTGGGGTTCTTCTACTTGTTTGAAAGCTGACTCTCTTCTGCTTTCCAAGTATACAACCTTCACACATGTCAATTTCTATTGACTGAAGGCCTGGTAATTTTCCTTTTGAGTGAATGATCTTCATCCCTTTTTCACTCATATGCCCAAGTCTTTGGTGCCATAGATTGGGACTTTCATTTGCTGCAACTGCAATCAGATGACATGCTCCTGAGGTCTTGTAAAGAGTACCACTCTTTTTGCCTCGAGAAATTGTCATCGCACCCTTTGAAATCTTCCAATCATCACCATGGAAGATTGTCGTGTAGCCTTCACTGGCTAGCTGGCCCACGGAGATTAAATTCTTCGTCAGGTCAGGAATATGTCTAACATTTTTCAATTCCCATACAGACCCGCTCAGCTTGATTTTTATTGCACCTTTCCCTACAACCTCACATGATTGCTCATTACCAAGGTAAACTTTACCAAGGTTACCAGGAACATAATTTTCGAGTAGTTCCTTCTGTGAGGTAGCATGAAAGGATGCTCCAGAGTCTAACACCCAAGACTCTTCTCTGTTCTCCAAAGAACATACCAGCATATCTCCTCCTGAGGATGAGGCAACATTTGCCTCTTCTTTTGTCTCCTGACCCTTCGGTGCACTCTGGCACTGGTTTCTGTAGTGCCCAGTCTTCCCACAATTCCAGCACTCGATCGACTTCGAGGTTTGGGAATTACGCTGATTTCTGGACTTGGATCTTCTTCCTTTTGATTTGTTGTGTCTGCTTTCTTTGGTTGAACTTCTTCCTCTTGACTCTGTATGCAATACAGAAGAGGTCGATGGTTCACCCGACTCTCTCCGCCGGATCTCTTCACTGAGAACCAAATTTTGAACATCATCAAATCTCAACTTATTGTTTCCCGATGAGCTACTCACAGCTGTGACCGTAGCATTCCAACTTTCTGGTAGGGAAGACAAAAGTATTAAAGCCCGTACTTCATCATCGAACTCGATCTCAACTGAACTCAACTGGGTTGTGACGGTGTTGAGCTCATTGAGATGATGTGCCACCGAAGCACCTTCGGTCATCCGAAGGTTGAACAATCGCCTCATCAAATGAACTTTATTTGAGGCCGATGGTTTCTCGTACATGTTGGAAAGAGCCTTCATGAGGCCTGCTGTCGTCTTTTCTTTTGCAATGTTAAAAGCAACATTACGGGATAACGTCAGCCGGATGGCTCCAAGAGCTTGTCTGTCGAGGAGACTCCATTCTTCTTCCTTCATGTCCTCTGGCTTCTTTCCTGTGAGTGGTTGATACATATTCTTCTGGTACAGATAATCCTCGATCTGCATCTTCCAGAAGCCAAAGTCCGCACCGTCGAACTTTTCGATTTTCATTTTTCCTTCGTCTGCAGCCATCACTTCAACTCTGATCTGACTTCTCTGCCGGATCGTTTCTGTAATTTTTGTGAACTACCGTGTTTTATAACACGTCGGTAGATAAATTTGTAGCGCCGACAAAATTGGTACTATTCACGTTTTTCAACGGAACAGTAACACCACACAAAAAAATACAGAATTAACAATCTGGCTCTGATACCAGTTGTTGGGAAAAATACGCTGAATTTTTCATGAAGTCGGATCTATAAAAGTGAAATAAAAAATAAAAATTGGACACACCAAATTGATAACGGAGTTCGGCCAATAATGCCTACGTCTCCGAACTACTGCAGATATTTTATTGGGAAAAAGAAATACACTCGTGTTTACAAAACACTCTCAAACTCACTCACAACTCACAACTCAAATACACACATAAGCTAAATTTTTATTAGCTCGCTCTCTCTTTCTCTTCTCTTATGTTTTTCTTTTGTGTTTGGTATTTTGTTGTGATGTCTGAAGCCCTCATTTGCCTTGTATTTATAGTGGAAGAGTTCATTAATTTGTCCACAAGTTGATCACGTCCAACAGCAATAATTAATGCCTTCACATGCATTTTTCAACAAAAGGCTGTTTCAATTTTTTTCTTCCTTTGTGTGCTGTCAAAAGAAATGGGCGCAGCCCTTATTTTGACTCAACAGTTTGATACTAATAAGAATGTACTTAAGTTTTACAAACATCAGTGTGGTGATGACACTAGAGAATGACACAAGTTGTTGAAATAACAAAACTAAGTTAATTTACACATATAAGTGAGATGACAATGTTCAACAAAACAATTTCTCACGTGAAATATAAAAAATGATATGATTGACCTTCTTATTATAGTGAAGTGTGTTGTTTGTACCTTATCACATAGAAGCAAAGTGCAAAGCGATAAGGTAAAGAAAATAGGGAGACATCGTCCCATGATTCACTATAAGGAAATCCCTATGTACCTTTTCATTTATTCTGGATTAATGTATATATATTAAATATCAACATACAACAAGTAAGACTTATCTATATTATTAGAGATAAAAAAGACTTTCTTAAAAGTGACCGACTTTAATTAGGTGTTCAGACAATAAATTAATCTTGTGTACATACAAGGATAGACTAGGTTTCCAATCAGCTTCCCCACGCGAAAGAATCTATATCTCTATTTAATAAGTGCACATAAGAAGTATTTTATTTTCTTTCATTGAATCACAGTTACTCCTCTTAGTTACTGTGAATGGAGGACAATATTTGCCCCTAACTTGGACTTTAGAGAGTTCCCTCCAATCCATCCTTCTCCTCACCATGCTTTAAGTAGTTAAATAATATTTTTCATTAATAACAAAAAACAAAGAGAAACAAAGTAGAAAATGTAATTAGCTAGATCTGGTCAAATATATCGTATATGGGATCAATGTGAGCTAGTGTTGCTACCTCATGCAATTATAGTACGAAACTATTTAAAAATAAATCATCTAGAAACCTACAAATCATTTTTCCCGCATCAAAATCGGCTCATCATATTGGGTACGATTCGCGAGTCAATCCATACAACTCGCCCGATTCTTAAAACAGACACAAGTATCTCTTAGTTCCTCGTGCATCTACATCAGCCAATCAAACTTTTGATGCTTCTTTTTAGGATCATATCCCTCTTTTTTGTCTCATTTTCCCACTGTGCACACTTTGTGCTCACAGCNGGATAAAGAAAGCAAAAACTCGGACCTCCCTCGCTTTAATGGCATCGATCCAAGAGCAAAAGAGAAAGTAATTTTACACCACTTTTTATCATTCGTTTGGGCACATTCATTAAATCATAGTCGTTTTAATACCATCATTATCCTTCGCTAATTACACTCACCTTGTTCCCTTTCATTTTTTCAACTCTTCAGAATGGACCTTTCTGTGTTACCACCAAAAAAGACCAAATTAGCCCAAGCATTCGCCACCGCGTTACGCGCACGGGCCCGAAAGACGAGAAAACACAACGAAAGCCCGAAAACAGGCCCAATCGAACCTCCCAAGGCTACCTCTCACGCGCTTGATAACAAATTACTAGAAGAAGCTTTCCTCGCGAAGGTTTTCGCGAACATATCAGCCGTAAAAGCTGCGTACGCTCAACTACAGTCCGCACAATTCCCTTACGACCCAGACGAAATCCAGTTCGCCGACGGTATCATAACTTCCGAGTTGAATAAACTCTCCGAGTTAAAGCAGCATTACGCGAACAACGTGCTCGACGAATTGACTCCGGAGAAAACTCTGCTCCTATGCGAAATCCGGGAGCTCGACAGCCTTCTCGTGACTTATCGCGTCACGTGCGAGAAATTGGGCTCCCAGCTCAGGCTCAAGGACTCGGAGATTATTTTTCTCAGGGAGAAATTAGCAGAGGCCAAAGGCCACAACGACTTGCTCCAGAGTAGATTCTTAAGCTTGGGTGGAGATAATAATGCTGAGCTGTCGGGTTTATTGCCGAGCCATTTTATCGGGTGTCTACAAGAGGCCGTGAATTCGGTCCGGGGCTTTACACGTTTGCTTGTTGACAAAATGGGTTTCGCGGGCTGGGATTTGGAGCTGGCGGCCCGTTCAATTCAGCCCGGAATCAAACCGGGTCATTTATGTTACGCGTTCGAGTCGTTTGTCTGTAGAGAAATGTTCGACGGTTTTAATGGTCGAGATTTTTCCTTATTCGGGAAGGAGAAAAGGAGTCGTTGCACGTTTTTCGAGAGATTCTTGGAGGTGAAAAAGTCAATTGGGCCGGTGGATTACGAGGCGCGGAGGCCCGATTCGGAGTTTGCAGCTTTTTGCCGAGGAAAGTATTTGAGGCTGATGCGTCCGAAGCTGGAGAGGTCCATTTTCGGGAGCTTGGAGCTGAGGGAGTCTGTGGATTCGGGTGAATTTCCGGATTCGCCCTTTTGGGGGGCATTCTGTGAGATGGCCAAAGGCATCTGGCTGCTGCATTGCTTGGCTATGTCGTACAGTCCGGAAGTTTCCGTATTTCGAGTTAAGGAGAGGAGCCGATTTTCAGAAGTTTACATGGAGAGCGTGAACGATGACGAGGCTTTTCCGGTTGTTAATGTGGGTTTTACGGTTTTACCGGGGTTTATGGTTGATCGGACAGTCGTTCAGTGTCAGGTGTATTTGTGCTGATTGACGACTGGTTTTTGTTTTGTCTTCTTTGATTGTGTAAAAAATTTTATGGTTTGTGGAGATAGATTGTCATGGGCTTGGCTATAGTTTGTTTTTTTGTCTTGGCTCCCCTTTTTTTCTCAGTTTTTGTGTGAAAAGGGAAGTGCGTATGAAGATTTTGAGGAGATAATATGGTTTATGTTATTTGTGATGCTCAATTTTTCCTAGGTACCTTGCAGTTATGTTTCATCGTAGTGATGAATGTATCAGTGGCGAATTTACATTTATCAATAGGGGGCAATTGCCCCCCTCAACTTTTAATTTTTTTTACTATGATAATTAAAAATTTTAATTTATTTAATTTTAATTTGCTCCCCTCTTAATTTATTTTTTGCACTCCCAGATTTTTTATGTTTGAACGTCACTCATAAGTAGTGTTGTAAACGAATCAAACCGAACCGAGCTTGGGTTGTTCGAGTTCATGTTCGTTTACGTTCGAACAGTGTTCGTGTTCGTTCGTATATTTTTCGAGCAAAAAATCGTGTTCGAGTTCGTTCGTTTAATTGTTCGTCAAGGTTCGAGTTCGTTCGTGTTCGAATAATTTGATTAATTCAAAATTTGTTCATTCGAACTCGAAAATAAAATAATAAAATAAAATATTACGTAGATATATAAAAAATAAATAAAATTATATTAAATTTTAGATTTTTTATTAAAAATATTATATAAATATATAAAAAATAAAATAAACTTATATTAAATTAATGTTCGCGAACATAATTGAACGTTCTCGAACGAGCTCGTGTTCGTTCGATTATTAAACGAGTCTAATTTTCTGTTCGAACTCGACTCGATTAACAAACGAACGAGCTTTTGTCGAACACGAACGAACTCAAACGAGCTTTTGTTCGCGAACGTTCGATTTGTTTACAACTCTACTCACAAGGCCAACAATTATAATTATAAGATAACTTGTTTTATGCATTTTTGTTATCTTTTATAAATTATGTCATCTCTTTTGTCCCCTCTCAACTAATTTTCTGGTTTCGCCCCTAATGTATATACACGCTACTCGTTCAATCAAAGGTGTGATCTTATTGTAACGATTGATTGTTTATTGTACTCTTAAAGCAAGGCACATTTGTCGACTAGGTTAATTTTATTGTAAACTTAGCTGCATATCCAATGTATAAATTATCGAACTCTTAGCCACCAATGTGATTTATGCAATTTAAGGACAATTTAGTGCGAAGTTGGGCCGAAGTTAGGCCGAAAGAGAGATCGTCAATAGTTTAAGAGATTGTTGAAAGTAAGTATTATGAGCGGATTATTATCATGTATTGATTCTTGCTTTTGTATATATACTGAAAGTTTGGTTTTGAATGTTATTTATATTATTTCTATTGATTGAGAATTATGTTTATTTAACAAGTTCTATATTTTGTTGTTTTGCACTATAGTTCATCACGGATGTACAAAATATTATTTTATCAGTCACTTGCGAAACATAAATAATTTGTTCACAACCTAGATAAAATGAAAAAACCATCGGAACAATTGTAGTATCCATTGTACGGTTGGTCTTGACTAATTAGTTGCACTCGTATACTTGTGTATTGAACGGATCACAGAGAAGAGCAATTCGTTTTATACTGATCGTTATCAACGAACTAGGCCTCGGTTAATTATTGCGTTACCCCGTAAAATATAAACAGACACATGTATGTAGTATACACTGCTTTGATTCACCAAACAGTGAGGTTCATTCTGTCTGGGCCAATAGTCTGGGTGAGTTGGATAATGATGTTGCATGCATTATCTCGACCGAAGCGCCTATATCTTTACTAGGCCTATACCAGCCCAAACTCAAAAACCCTCTCACTATGCTTGTTTAGGGCTTGATTGTTTACAAGTTACTTTACTCACGTTTATTTCAAACTCAAAATATAACTCAATTTTAACTCAACTCCATTATCTGCAATATTATTCATATAATTAAATAATAAAAATTAATCATTCTTACGCATCACATCAACTTTAATTCACTATTCATCCACTCACATAATTTTAACTACCTCGTTTTCAATGATTTCTAATAATTTTTATCCTACTTTACATTAAATCAATTTTAATTATTTTATTTTTAATATTATTTTAATACATTCTTAAAATTCCACTAACAACTAATCATATTACATTTTCTAAAATTCACTATGGTTAACCAAAATAACTCATTTTGAAACAAATTATTTGATAAACAATCAAGGCCTTAGCAGTTCGATGTCGATCTCTATACAGTTTGAATGCCTATTCATCAACAGATGCTAAATGTCGATCTCTCGATTGAATGTGAACAAGAACTAGAAAAGTATCCGCCCAACTAATCTCATAAAAAAAAAGTCTTGAATTTGCATGAAGCCACGTGCCAGACTCTCAGACCTCTTGTTGGCAAACGACAATCATTGTCTTTTCACTTTATTCATGTATAAATTTCGTATTTTATATATCAGAACGGACACCAGAAAATACGCATTCAAGAATATACAAACAAATAAACCTTTTTCTCTCAATCACTCTGATGCATCAGCATGGATCTCTTGTTTGTTTGACTATCTCTTTTGCTAGAATTGTATTTACGTTTAATCTCGAACTTATATAATTAATAAATTTTGTAATAACATGAGTTGAATGCCACATTGAGTATATACCAAAGTGTAATGGAAATTTCCATTAAACCTTTGTCTTTGTCTAACTATGGGCATAGGATATTCAAAACTTCTATGCACCCATTGAATGGTTTTTTTATGAAGTCATCAATCACTTAATGTATGAACATCTGTCCAATTAGTATAGGCCCATGTGGCAGCAGCACCCGAAGGTGTGTGTCAGTCGGCCTTCCACGCTTTCGAAAAGCTAGTCTGCGAGTTCGCCTTCTCGCTCTATCTATAGTAAAAAAAATCCTACCCTCGCTTATCTCTCTAGGCTGTCTTTCTTTCTCCTCACATGCCAAGTCAGGGGTTTCACATTTGCTTAGTGATAGCGTAAAATAGAATGGAACTGCTTGCCAGATCATGAGATGAGATCAGAGTGAAAGTACTATTTGTGAATAAATATTGTAGATGACTCCATAAGTCGTGTCAATACACTATTTGTGAATAAATATTGTAGATGACTCCATAAGTCGTGTCATTCGATGACTCCATAACAAAACTGATAGGATATTTTAAGATGCACTTTTTGGTCATTCTTCGACTATGTCCTACGCAAGTGATACCATATCCAACGTAAGTGATTACGTGGTCTCAATCATGGAAATCGAGATTAATCGAAATTCAACTGCGCGCATAATTAGAAAACACTATTTACTCCATTATATTATTTGAATTAGAATTCTATATTTCCTAAACACCTTAAATCTTTCACAAATTATTATACAAGGGGAATACTTAGCCGAGTCGACATATCTTATTATTTAAATTAGAATATATATTTATACTGCAAAATATTATATTTTATTTGAGTTTTTAGAGTATGAAATTTCTATTTAAAAGTATATTTTATTTGTTAAAAAGTTGTAGTTGTTTAACTATTCGCCATCTAAGCAGGCGATTGGAATAATTTTTTCTATTTTTCTCGCTAGATTTTTTTTTTATGGAACTACAATTAGATCCAAGTTTTTTACTATAAATTATTATTCATGCAATCTAATTTTTTTTATAAGTATTATTAATATAATTAAATAATATAAATCAATAAATATTGCACATTTTTCAACAAAAATTATTATCCATCTACTCTCATATTCTTAACTACCAATCATATACGATTATTATTTTGCTATTTTTATATCGCATCAATTTTAATCATTTCATTTGTCTCATTTTCATTCACCAACTCAAAATTAATTCATTTTCCATCCATATTTTTTTTTCGCTCTCTAACTCACTTTTTTTTTCTGACTCTAACTCTCTTTTCAATCAATTAAAATTAACCCAAAATTTTATATCTAATCGGGTGGTCGAGTAGATACAATTTTTTATTTGTTAAGCCAAAATTTATAAATGAAACAAATAAATTTAAATAAATAAATTATTCATCCCTTTTCGATTTTCCCGTACAAATTCCATTTATTATAACTAAAAAATAAAATATATTTAATATTATATATTTTCCAACAAAAAAATATTCATCTCTTATTATCAATATTACTAATTATTATTTTATTATTTTTACATCAAATCAACTTTAATTATTATATTTCATCTCATATTTATTCANCGCAACTCTTATAAAACTATCAGTCGGATGATTCCTTAACATAAGCTCAATCATCATACAACTTTATAATTCCATCGAAAAAACATAAATATCTAAAATAAAAAGAAGCAAAATACGAAAAAAAAAAATAAAAAAATTCCCCAATAATGGATTCTTCCCTCCTCACTCTGGCCCTCCTCATTCTGGCCCTCCTCAGCCCTCCTCTCTCCACCGCAAACCTCCACAAAACATCCCATCTCCGGTCACAGCCCATTCTCCAATCCCTTTCCGCCGCCGCCGCCGCCGCCCCTCCCACCACCTATTTCGAAGTCGCGAAACCCATCCCACTCCCCAAAACCAAACCCTGCTCCTATTCAGCCCTCAAACACGATTTCGCCTACACCTACGGCAAACCCCCCGTCCTCGCCGGCTACAAACCCCCTTCCGACTGCAACGCCGGAAATTCCTCAAAAATCGTGCTCGAGTGGACCGCCACTTCGAAGGGCCGGCAGTTCGACCGGATCTTCGGCGTCTGGCTCGGCGGCGTCGAGATCTTCCGCAGCTGCACTGCCGAGCCCAGAAAAAACGGCACCGTTTGGACCGTCAGAAAGGACGTCACCAGGTACCATTCTCTCCTGACGGCAGAAAAGGAGCAAACTTTGGCCGTTTATTTAGGGAACATCGTCGATAGTACATACACCGGCGTTTATCACGTGAATTTGAAATTCCACTTTTACCCCTTCGATGAAATTTCCGACCTCCGG